CTGTATATATAGTATAGGCTATGTATTTTCAATCTGATAACTGGGATGGCTACTAAGTGGCCAATGGGCAGGTAGCATATACAGTGTGGATAGGTTGGGCAAAGGATAATTCATGTCTGGTGGAGGGTGGGGTGGAAGACAGAAGAGGATGGTGAGAGATTTTATTGTGCTACTCAGAACAGCACAATTTTAAGCATGCACATTTTTTACATCTGGAATTTTCCATTTATTATTTTAGGACTGCTGTTGAACATGGGTAACTGAAACCTTAGAAAGTGAAACGCTGGGCCGGGCGCGGTGGCTCACGCCTGTAATCCCAGCACTTTGGGAGGCCGAGGCGGGGGGATCACAAGGTCAGGAGATCGAGACCACGGTGAAACCCCGTCTCTACTAAAAATACAAAAAATTAGCCGGGCGTGGTGGCAGACGCCTGTAGTCCCAGCTACTTGGGAGCCTGAGGCAGGAGAATGGCATGAACCCGGGGGGTGGAGCTGGCAGTGAGCCGAGATCGCGCCACTGCACTCCAGCCTGGGCGACAGAGCCAGACTCCGTCTCAAAAAAAAAAAAAAAAAAAAAGTGAAATGCTGGATAAAGGGGGATTACTGCATTTGTTTGCCTAATTATGAATCTGGAGTCCATCATCATTAAACAAAACTTGGTGTTCAATTCATGGATGTAAATATACTACATTGTGTGTGTTCATGATTGACATTTCATATATTTTAAGCACTTACCCTAAACAAAAGTTAATAATAACTTCTATTTTATGAGTTACTTACTGTGTACAAGATACTGTCATAAGTGTCTATTGAATCCTCATGGTGGCTGTAGAGACTGTCATTTTATAGGTGAGGAAATCAAGGCTCAGGGCAGAAAAGACACTTGTCCCAAGTCACACTGCTGATCAGCACATTGAACTCAGTCTGTCTGGTTGTATTATGCTGCCTCATTGGGAATATAATCCATGATAGAAAATTTACTTTAAATTCATTTACATAGTAATATAGAGTTTTACTTTTCTTATAGTTAGAAATAGATAGGATATTATTATTGAGTTCTGCTTGTCCCCATTTAAGTTTTTCTGAAGGTGTCAGCCTATTTTGTCAAAGCTACTAAGGCATCCAGTAACTTTTCTCAGCTGGTGGAGAAGAGTCAAGGGAGAAGCTAAAATTTCTAACAGGATACTGAAAAGTCTAATTACCACAAATATCTAAGAATCCTTAGAAAAAAATGGTAAACTAGTATTAAAAAGTAGAAAAACAATAGATGTCGGTATGGATGTGGCAGAAGGGAACACTTACATTGCTGGTGGGAATATAAATTAATTAGTACAGCCTCTATGGAGAACAGTATGTAGATTCCTTAAAGAACTAAAAGTAGATCTACCATTTGATCCAGCAATCTCACTACTGGGTATCTATCCAAAGGAAAATAAGTCAGCATATGAAAAAGACACAGATACATGCACATGTATGTCTATAGCAGCACAATTCACATTTGCAAATATATGGAACCAACCTAAGTGCCCAGTGACCATCGAGTGGATAAAGAAAATGTGATATATATAGACCATGGAATACTACTCAGCCATAAAAAAGAATGAAATAATGTCTTAGACATACAGAGTGATATAATGGACTTTGGGAACTCAGGGTTGGGGGAGGTTGGGAGGGGGTGGGTGACAAAAGACTACGTATTGGCTACAGTGTACACTGCTCAGGTGATGGGTGCACTAGAAGTTCAGAATTCACCACTTATAGAATTCATCTATGTAACCACAAACTACATGTACCCCAAAAGCTATTGAAATTTTTTAAAAAATTGGCAAACTGAGTTATACATTTAAGAAATCCAGTAAATTTAAGTGAAGTAAAGGGAATTAAATAATATTTAATTAAAACAGAACTCTTTTTAGACAATTGTCAGTTTAAAGATGATTTCTCCTAGCAAATGAAATCTCAAGCATTTTAAAGGGGGTTTTAAAATGGTGACTTAAAAAAGTTACTCCACATACTTAAAAATCTCAGTTTCCTTCTGCAGTTGAGCAGTCCTCATATGACAATTTGCAAATGGGCTCAGATTTTTCCCTATGGATCTTGCTATATGTTTGTAGCAAGTTTGTTAGGGAAAGAACAGGATAGAATATTATATAGGCAAATAACTTTTCACATTATTCTCATGTGGCCATCATTTTTTAAAACTAAACTTATTTGATGTTTTGGAAATGTGAAAGATAAGTAGACAAATTAAGCATGGATATTCAGAACTTTTGGAGGAAGTTTACTTTTACTAAAAGTAGTCATCCATGATGATGACAATGTTAAAATTATGTATGTTCTCATTGATAAGATTCAAGATGGAGAGAAGATTGCTCTTGGCATTGTAGAGGTAGCCATGAGGAAAGGAATGATGATTTAGGCAAAATAAAAATATATCAACAAATTTAAGAAAAAAATTGGGCAGCTTTTCCATCAAAGATTAACACAAGGAAGGATGTGGTCATGTACAATTGGCTCCAGATTGCGGGAGGCCCTGGAGGTCAGATTGAATCCCATTGTGACTCTGGAAAGTGATTTATTGAACATCTACCATGTGAGTCTGTTTTATTTTAGCAGATACTAAGATAAAACAATAAGGAAAATGTGGACGTTATGCCCTTAAGGATATTTTAACCCAAAAGCATATGTCAGGATAAATGTTGAGAAACTGGTGTATACACATACTTCCTTCATATGCATGGAAAGGAAGAACAGAAATACGTGGAAGGTCACATGTATAGACAAAAAGAAAGAGGAAGAACCAAAATGACCTATCTAGACACTAGGCTTCTGTGCAGACAGAAGCTCTGTCTGGAGTTTTCAGCTCTGTCTGGAGCTTTTAGCTCTATCTGGAGATGAGCTCAGCTGAAGAAAACTGCCTCCCTCAAAATCATGTTCACTCAGTTACTGGCCTCTGTCCAGTAGCTGAGTAACACTTGAGTATAAAGACCTGGCTCCCTTGCTCCAACTTAGGACAACTTAGAAAAGCCATCCCAGCTCCAGAACCTCTTGAGGGGTAGGTAGAAGCCTCTGTTGGTCCTGCATTGAAGGTTAACTTCTCCCTCTGCCCAAATCCACCTCCTTTCCTATGTTTCTACAAGTGTTAATCCCAAGAGCTCTTTTTAGTAAACATACAGGTTGCCAGTCTCCATCTCACCATCTTCTTTCTGGAAAACCCAACCTGTGATAAGTTCTTGGGTCTATTAATGACACTGCCCTTCTTTTCAGCTCCTCTGCTTCTCTGTGACTTTCTTTCATCTGCTATTCTCTTTGTTTATTTGTCTTTCTGTTGTCTAGTCACTCTTCTTTTTTTCTCATGCTCCTGTCTTTCACCAAAATGTATGCCTAAAATGTTTGTTTTAATTATTTAGTAGTGTTTATTTCACTCTATTTTTAAAAATAATCGTTTTCTATTTATTTCTTTCATAGTACACTCTCCTTTCATTCCTTCTAGTTTCTCTTCAAAACAATCTACGATCCAACACACTCTTCATAAAAAAAAAAACCCAAAAATTAGCCTAAATAAACTACTGACTCTCATTTTTGAATTTACCTATCTGACCCTTAACTAGGGTGACAATATGAGTATATGCTGTTGTCTGAGTACTGTATATTTATTAATAGCACTCCACCCTCAAAAGTGTCCGTTTTAAATAAAAAACTGCTGAGATATTTTCTTTACTTTTAATGGAGTTTTGTAGGTTTCGGCTGACTTGCAATTGGAAAAATGCTCCCGTCTTCTAGTTTAGGTGGCACATTTGTTTAATAAAATCTTAAGAAGGAAGTCAAGGTTTATGTGTCATTATCTCAACCCCCTCCCTCTCCACCCCAGTACCTTTGAACTGATTCAGAAATAAGCCCTTTTGGAATTAAACACTTTAAATGTTGTATAAAAATTTTGATTTAAAACAGTAACTCAAGAAAGGATGCCAACAGTCTTTTTATTAGTTTGATACTTTCTCTGAAGATTCATTCCTGTTAATCATACCCACAGATGGGCTCACTGAAGAACTGCTTCACACATTAAGTCCAAGGACAAAATTCATTCATTCAGAAAAAATCCATTGAGTGAGAACGATAGCTGGGTCCTGCTCTTTAGGCATATAGTGGTGCCCTTGTTCAAACAAATAAATGCATGAGAGCATTTCAGATTATGAATAGAACTATTCACGGGATAGTGAATAGTTGGGATTCCATGGGTGGGATGGATGATGAGGGAGGGCCTCATGGAGAAGGGGGCATTTCAATTGTGACCTAAACGTCAAAGATCTAAATGTAGAGTGTTCCCAGGAGAGGAAAGAGTGCATACAAGACCCAGAGGTGGAAATGAATGTTTGATTGGAAGGCAGTGAATAGTTGGGATAGTGGGCCTGGTAATGTGGAGCCCTTCTTGGATTTTATTTTGAGTAGTTTAGAAAGCCATTGGGATGCTTTAACCAGAGTGCAACATAATGTACTTTACATGTTTAGAAGATCACTCTGGCCACTGGGTGATGGATGGACTGTAGTGGGGCAAGAGTGAAAGCTGAGGGACCAGTTGGGCTCTTGTAAGAATCTCAGTGATGACGGTGGCTTGGATCTAGGTTGGCAATGGAGGACATGGAGCCAACATGACTTGCTGCTGGGTTGGAAGTAGGGAAGAAGAAAAACGGAGGCTGTGTTCTAGACTTCTGGTTTGAGCAGCTGGTAGGTTGGATAGTGTCATCATAATGAGTTGAGAAAGACTGGAAGAAAGACTAGGTTTTCTTTTCTTTTCTTTCTTTCTTTCTTTTTTTTTTTTACAAGAGGGGGTCTGGTAAAAAACAAACAAACAAACAAACAAAACAAACAATCTTTGGGCTGTTTAAAATGTAAGATGCTTCTAACCAGATTTTAAATGAGATTTTTCTTGTTGTTTTGGGATTTTAACTGAAGCCCAAAGCTAAGGACAGTAGATGACCATTGCCCCCCATTTTTTTGGGGGGGAACCAAATTTCTTTATTTGAAGGAATGCTACAAATCAAAGAACTTAAGTGGATGTTTTGGTACAACTTATAGAAAAGGTAAAGGAAACCCCAACATGTATGCACTGCCTTGGTGACCAGGGAAGTCACCCCATGGCTATGGGGAAATTAGCCTGAGGCTTAGCTTTCATTATCACTGTCTCCCAGGGTGTGCTTGTCAAAGAGAGATTCTGCCAAGCCAGAGTCGGGTGCTCCCATTTTGTGCAAGTTGGTCACGTGGTCACCCAATTCTCTGATGGCTTTCACCTGCTCATTCTGGTAATGTATCTCAATGAAGTCATACAAATGGGGGTCACTTTTGTCAGTGGCCAGTTTGTGCAGTTCCAGTAGTGACTGATTCACATTTTTTTCCAAATGTAATGCACAGTCCGTCGCACTCAGCCCGCTCTCCCAGTTGTCATAGTCTGGTTTCTTGATAGCCTGAAGGAAGATTCGGCCACCTTGTTGGTTCTGCAGCTTCATCAGTTTCTCGGCATGTTCCCTCTCCTCATGAGATTGGTGAAGAAAGTATTTGGCAAAGTTCTTCAAAGCCACATCATGGCGGTCAAAGCAGTAAAACACGGACAGGTAAATGTAGGAGGCGCAGAGCTCCAGGCTGATCTGGCGGTTGATGGTGGCCTCTGAGTCCTGGTGGTAGTTGTGGCGCACCTGTCAGGTGGACGCGGTCGTCATGGCGGTGGCTAAGGACAGGCGGCGGCGGCGGTGGCTGCACAGCGCTGGAGCGGCAGCGGGGGCCTTGTGCCCCCCATTTTTAAAAGAGGTGTTACACCCACCCTCACATGGCATGTTAAAAGGTGGCTGAAACCAGGCCTGAGCTTGCCTCTAGTATCTGACAGAGAGGATTCTTTAAAGGTAGTTCATGGAAGTAAGATGCTATTCTCTTTTTATGAGGAGCAAGGCATGTGGGTGTGGTTTTTTTTTACCCCATAAGCTGAGAAAGGGACTTCAAGACCCCCTCAGAGAGACTGGAGATGCTTGCCAGAAGGAGGGCACTAGCTTGCTCTTTGACCATCAATAAATCAACTTTGCAAGTACTGTATTCCTTCATTCGTCCAAGTATTCTAGGCTGCAGCCTGTGAGGAAATTGGGGACTCGTGCTTGTTGTGTGTTATGTTTATTATCCTATGCTTACGTATACCTGTATTGTAAGATACAGCTTTTACTGACCCTAACAGAAATTTCAGATTGACTAGGTAAGACAGAAATGCAAACAGGTAGGTATTCTTATGTAAAATCAATGGTGGAATCTTAGCATTGATAATTAAACCAATTAATTATCGTCTTTTAAATAAGATAACTGAGGGCCTCAAATGCGAATTGACATGTCCTAGGTTTCAATCTGTTAAAAATGCAGCCAGGACAAGAACCCAGATATCCTGACTCTTGGTGATGATTCTTGCATTAACTCTTTGTTAAGATGGAAGCAAAACAAATTTTCACTCTTTTGGGGGGGACTATTTAAACCATTTCTTTTAGAAGTAGGCCAATAATGTGGGTAAGAACAAGTCTTTTTTTTTTTTTTTGGTCTTTTGCCTTCTACTCATTGCTGAGAGACACTTCTGCTTCTCTCAAATCTTTAAGTTCAGAAATTCTCTGAGATTTTGGTTTAAGTAGGAAAAAATAGTAGAAATACTACTGATTCCGTATTGTGTCTTCCCCTTCCTCCTCATATTTCTCTGTGTCCTCTCTCCTACATCCTCATTTTTTTTTTTCCTTTTGTTTTGCTGGCAAGCTGCAGAACCTCACTGTGTTAAATACCTTCTTCCTAAATTATGCCTTAGCTGCCCCTTTCATGGAGAAGAGAAGGAAATAGCGTGGGTGTTTCACCATCACAGTGACATATTTCCCTTGGCATTGTATTTAATTAGATTATAGTGAATGCCATGCTGTGTGGTGCTGTGTTTTATTAAGGCCAAAACGTGGTTCCATGATAGAACATGCTGTAAGTCCTGCAGTGCAGTGTAACACGAAATTTGTAGCAACACCTGTGTCTGCTACATCATAGAGGGTAAATACGGGCCAAAATGTCTATGTAAGGGAGGAAAAAGCCAGAGGAGGTGCTGTTATCCAAGTAAAAAGCACTCTCAGCTTGAAGCATAAAATCTAAGTTTATGATAGAAAATTTCAAACTTTTTAATAGTATCGGAATGGAGCATTTCATTTTAAGCATGATTGCCTGGTGCAGGCAGTGCTGGAAGGCTGAGGTCACTGAAGGATTCGGGTATTCATTTGTTCACTTGTCCATTTGTTCAATACCTATTTGTTGATCATCTGACTTTTACATAGCACTGAGGGGATACAAAGCTTGTTTCCTTCCTCAATGAGCTTGCCCTGTGGATCCACTTGTGAGCCTTATTTTCCTTATCATTGAAGTGAACTCTGGCTACAACAATACAGCTTTCAAAAAAGGCTCCATTGCAACAAATGTTTGTTGAACACTGGCAGGCTATATGGAAAGAATTAGACTGGATTCTATCTATGTTCTAGTCGGAGCCTTAGCTGTTTCTTTAAATGAATATTTGCTCCTCCACCTCTGCTTATTTTCACATTTTCTTCTTTGCCGAATATAGGAACTTCTTTGTGTGTGCCATGATTCAAACTAAAGAATATGTGGACATTTTAAATCTGAGGTTACTGTATCCATTGGCTTTGCTTTATCTCCTTCCTCCAGGCCTAATTGGGTACTCATACGGAAATATGCCAGGAGATAATAAAATGGCATAGGAATAAGCCACTTGTTACGTTCTTCGTCCAAGAACATCATACTGATTGCTGGTATCCATGGAGCATACTCTGATTTTATGTAGCTCCTGTTCAGTCCTGGGCTGAGCCTGCCATTGACAAGCCAGATTTGTTTTGCATCTGATGCTATTAAGAAGTCAGGGTGAATGATGCTTATTGCTGTGTGTAAGTTCTCAGTCCAGAGGACAGACTTTCCAGGAGATTTAAAATGAAGCACTGAAAGGCACACAATGTAACCACTACTTCAGGTCTTCTCTATCTGAAACCTCGAAACACATGAAATGGGGTTGTGTTGCTAGGTAGCACCTGTCCTGCCAAAAACTAATGGGCTGAGGATTTTTCCAAATGAGATAAAATCTCATTTCTTTAAAGGGTCGGTTCTGCTCTCCTAGAATGTTTCTGGAGAGGCACCTGGTAGCTCTCTTCAGTGGAAATTACAGAAATAGACAGTTATCACAAGACTGTTTAGTGATGAGATGCCATTGCTTAGCCAGTAGGATGACAGAGTTTGAGCTAGCCAAGCAGCGAGTCCCATTGAGGTTAACCTTAGTAGATAAAGAGTAGCAGTTCTTATATTCATGAGAAGTTCAGACCAGAAGATGATCTATTGCTGCAAGTAGATACCACGAGAAAGAGGAGTTACTGACAGAATATGATAAATAACACAGCTAGATTATACATGAGAAGGGGCTTAAATCTTTCAAAAACTAATGAATAGATGACAATGATAGCTCAGTCAATGCCGATAAATAATAAAAAGTTGCTGGATAGTGGAATATGGGACTAATTTGTGCACCACTCAGCATATGAGATTAAAAAAGTCAAAGAGTCAAGTATATGTAACATTAAATATGAATGATTAAAATGAGGATGGAATGAAGTGAAAGTCAAGTCTGTATGTGCCATTAAATATGAACCTACAGCACCCATAGGCATTTTTTTCAATCTCTTGGAGGATCAAAGTGTACCTGCCTCTGAAAGCAAATGTGTGCATATTTCTTACATGTGAAAAGAGTCAGTGTAAATAAAGAAACTTTAAAAATGGACAGCATATTCAGAAAGAATTGGTAATGTGACTTTTGATTCTGAACATTTGGATCAGTGTGAGCAGTATTGATATTTGGCTCTGAGAATGAAAGGCAAAGAACCAAAGAACAAAGGGCAGCCTGAGCTGGCAATGGACAAGAGTGGAATAGCAGATAATGAGGAGAGGAGTACAACTAGACACGCAGGGCCTCAGATGTCTGGGAGGATAACTGACAAGAAAGGACACAGTCAGGGCAAAGAAATGTGAAATCATGATGTCTTTGATGAATCTTTTCCCCATCAGTCTAGGTATGCTGTAAAGCAGACCTAAAGAAATAAAAAAGCATCATCCAAAGGCCTGTCTTTGAATTCCATTAATGATGACATGACAGAAGACAAAACATCCACATCCATATGCAGACTCTTTGAAAACACTGATGAGTGAGATGTCATCGAATCTTTTAGTGCTTATTAAATTGTATGGAATAGAGTGTTTCTGTTAGAGGGAAAAATGTATATCCAGCTAGTTAAGAAATAAAGAGACAAACTAATTTGTATTAATCCAAGGAAAACCACTTATCTGCAACTAAATGACATGGTGGTTAGAATGGGTCTTTCTAATTAGTCAAATAAGAGCAGCATTGCCCATGTCTGGATACCCTAGCCTTTCTTCATATGTGTAAATTCCATCACCTAAAGACAGATATGAACAAATTTTATCTTACAAGGATGATCAGAGAAGGCTCTCAGGAGAAACAAAATGTTTAAGTATGGAAAGATAAGATGCTATTACTGCTATTGCTTAAAAAGTAAAATTCTAGCTAATCAATCATTTCTGTTCCTTGGTTTATAATTAACCAGTTTGGAAGAGTTTCTTTCTTTTGCCACAAGAAATTGGGTAGTCAGAAGTAATGATGATTTCTGTATAGAGTTGCCCCTGGAGCAATGCAGGGGTTAGGGACATTGACCCCCTGCACAGTTGAAAATCTGTGTATAACTTTTGATGCTCCCCCAAACTTTACTAATAAGCACTGTTGACCAGAAGTCTTACCAATAACATATAGTTGATTACGTTACCTATTTTGTATGTTATATGTATTATATGCTGTATTATTACAATAAAGTGTGCTAGATAAATGAAAATGTTATTAAGAAAATTATAAGAAAGATAATATATTTACTATTCATTAACTGGAAGTGGATCATAATAAAGGTCTTCATTTTTGTCATCTTCACATTGAGTAGGCTGAAGAGGATGACGAAGAGGAGCATTGGTCTTGCTGTTTCAGGTGTAGCAGAGGCAAAACAAGTGGAGGAGGTAGAAGGGGAAGCAGGAGAGGCAGGCACACTCTGTGTAACTTTATGGAAATACATCTTAATTTCTGTCTGACTTTTTGCTTTTTCATTTCTATAAGGTATTAATCCTTCTTCAATCATTTGCTTTAGTTTTAGTACCTGTATCATAGAAAGGTCCATGTTGTACAAGAAGTTAAAATCAGTCTTGAATAATCAGAACCCTTCTGTCAGGTTTTCTGATGTCATCTTCTTTCCTGGCACTGCTTTTATGTCTTTTTCCTCGTTGTCTGGCACTGATTCAGAAACGCTCATCTCCATTAAGTCCTGTTCTATTAATTTCTCTTGTGTAGTGTCTATTTGCTCTTGAATTTCTCCAACATCCATATCTTGAAACCCTTTTTGCCCCACTTTTTTGCCATATCCACAATCTCTTTTGTTATTTTCTTCATAGGCACTGTCAGAAAGCCTGTGAAGTAATGAACAATATCTGTATATAGTTTTGTCCAGCAGAAATTTATGGTTTTGAGCTGAAGGATTTAACTTTTTTTTTTTCTGAAACAACAATGGCATCAAAAATCCTGGAACCCTTCCAGATTTTTATGGTGTTCTCTCTTTCAGATTTCTTTTCC